TTATTCGCCTCAGGCTCGGTGATTATCGGGGAATATTCATCTCGACTTCGTCTCGGCGAATATTTCCCGATAATCACCTCGCCTTCGGCGAATAATTATTGTTAAATATCCGGTGATGTATACTGATCCAGTATACTGATCTACCTCACTTTAAGTAGTGATTTATTCATATAAGATGTCATTCAAAATCCTCCAATTCGGACTGGACTTCAAGTCTTCGCATTTGACCCAGACCCAGTCCTCGGTTTCGTTACGTGAAATACATAACAAGACAATAGGAATACTTACAGAGGTTTATAAGCCAACCATGTCAGAGATGTTATAACCGTACTGATCATGGCAATTCTCAAGCAATTGGACATGATGTAGTCGTAAATCTTCATCTCTGATGAGGTCATAAACGACCAATCACAAGGTGGCTGACACGATCCATTCTTAAATTCAATCAGCGGATAAGTACAATTTGTATTTAATACTAAATAGGAAATAAAATAAAATTAATTAATTAATCGGTGCGTTCTTGGTAACGGGTAATACGCCTGCAGAGGTTATCGGACGTACGGCCGCATAATATATATATATATAATCTCTCACGAAAATGACACGAAAATTTGGACATTACAAAAATTATGATTTAGTACAATTTTTCCCGATAATCTAAAGGCGATGCCTGCGGAGGAGGCTACGATTTGTCTACTTCTTTACTTCCAACAAAATAGAAAGGAATTTTGTTGATTTGCATTTAATATTTTCGTTTTATATATAACTGCCATGGTGAGCATAAACCAAATTTTATTTCTCATTTTCATTACAATTTATTGCTATACGCCTAAAATAGTTAAAAAACATAGATACAATATGTTTAATTTATAGTAATATAGTGAAAATATTAAATATTAATTGCCTCCGCACAAGCAGATTCAAACTTTTGTGCAAGAGGAGCATAAAACTCTCGTGCCTGGTGAACTGGTGTACCGGCTCGTGCCTGGTGAACTGGTATACCGGCTCGTGCCTGGTGAACTGGTGTACCGGCTCGTGCCTGGTGAACTGGTGTACCGGCTCGTGCCTGGTGAACTGGTGTACCGGCTCGTGCCTGGTGAACTGGTGTACCGGCGAATATAAACGAAAAAAGTAAGTCTTTCCAAAGTGTCTGCTAAAATAAGAAGAATGTGTTGCTGTATAATACTGTTTATAATTAGTGTGTTGCTATCACAACCACATAAATGTCCCAAAATGTTTGCTTTATAGGTGCACTAACTGTACTAAATTTCTTTTAATTATTTTTGTTTAATTAATTATATTTTACCAGGCTACGTCATACCTGTCGTCTTTGTTGAAGTATTATCTCTGTAAAGGAAGTTGAAAACCCGTCAGATCTATTTCTATTTTCTGAGTACATTTTGCCCTTTTAGGGATCAAATATAATGATGCCCTTCCACATTCTGAATGTGTTTTCACCAGGGCCTTTCAGAGGGGGGGGGGGGGGG